CAGCAATCATATATTATAAAGAGGTTTTATGATACAAATTTGATAATCTCCCATACACATTGGCACTGTTCTAATTGGAGTTGTAAGCCCATAAAATTCAAACTCTTTGTTTTCATGAAGGCCACAAGGTTTTAAAAGATACTATTGTACCGCCTAAAACCCATAAAATTGTCACTAGGGACTGATTAAACAGTCCTGAATTGAAACAGTGCGGATTTTGTCTAGGTCCTTTTCAACCACAACAATGCTCTTTTCAACTCCCAAGACAAAAGGAGGTTTAAGGAGCGATTCTCTGGGAGATTCTTCTGAGATAACCCCATCCATATGGGAGACAAGGTGGCCAGCAGCTGAGACAAAAATAAATAAATAAATAAATAAATGGGAAGAGAGGGAAGGAAAAAAGGTTTTGGATGGCAGGAGGAAAAAAAAAAGTGAGGAGGGGGGTGGGAATAACAACAACAGAAAGGCAGGTGAAACACAGTCTGTATTCCTCTGCGTTCTCCTCGCGCATCCGCAAGCCCGGCCCTGCCCGCATCCCCTCGGCACCTGCCCCTGCCCAGGCGCGGCGGCGATGCGTGGGTTGGATGTGGTGCGGGGCCTGGCTGCGGCCTCATGTCCCGGGGCACATCTGCTCCGAGGAATTCCCTTTCGGGAAAACACGCATTAAAAACAAAACAAAACAAAACAACAAAGCTACCCCCGGGGGGGGGCCAAAAAAAAAAAAAAACCAAAAACAACCAACAACTCCTGAGTGCCCCTCTGCTTTAACTCGACCACCTTTCCTCGGCGTTTCTAACTCCCAGATATTCCCTCTAGGTTCTTGGTTGCGTCTCCTGTCGAAGAGCTGAAGACAGTCAACAATTCAAACCTCTTTCTCTCGTTTTTAAACTGTTTTCCGTATTTACAGCTAGCAGTTGAATGATCATTTCCCTCCAATTAATAAAAGCAATAGTTCGATAAAGCGCTTCAAGACGTAATTCTCCAGCTGTTAACATACTTCACTGCTCTCTCGGCCACCCTTCCCCACCATACCTTTGGAACAGCTGCGGGCTAGCGGTCAAGTCCGCTCAATGTCGGCTCTTGCCTTAGCGGCTCGGGAAAGCCCAGCGCTGAGCGTACCGCCGTGGTGCCGGAGCCGTCGAACCGAGCTGAGCCGGTGGGAATCCCGCCCCGCAGCCCTCGGCCCAAGCGAAGGGTGCGGAGCCCACAACCACAGGCGCCCAGCACCCTCTGGCAAGCTCTATTCGCCGTTCACCATGGCGTGCGTGGGTAACGCAGAGGAACTCGAGTGCGAAGGTCCTCTGGAGAGTTCAAGAGAAGTATTTAAGAGCGAGAAACAATCCAAAGTGAAAGATCTAACGGTCAAAAATACACTCCTTATCCGAGAAAAAAATATTTTCTGAGTATCATTTTATTAGTCACTGGAAGAATAAGCTATTTTCAAGTAAACTAGGTCGCTAGTTTTTATTATTATTTTTTTAATAGGAAACCTCTCCGACAGAGCCAGGAGGAGAGGAGCTATCACCGAAGCAGAGCCGTACACGGCTCCGTGCCCCGGGAGTAGATTGCCCCGGCAGTCGCGCTCCGTGCCCGCGTCTCCGTGCCCCGCCCGCCCCGTCCGGGAGCCTTCTTCGAGCCCGTGGCCGGGCGAGCCCTTGGGATGAGTCCTGCCCGGAGGGGGAGGCGCCGCCGTCACCAGCTCCAGGAGACGACGGCGGGATGCGCTAAGTGCTGGTACGCGGGGCAGACGCCGAGGGTAGGCGGGCAGGCCGGGTAGCCCTGCACGGCGAGGGCGGCCTGGGCGCTGCAGCCCGCTAGCGCGCAGCCCAGCTTGGGGCTGGAGGCGGCTGGCGAGGAACTGGCGGGGAAGCTCCGGCAGGGCTCCCCGTCCCTCAGTAGCACCGGCACCGGCATCACCACCCGGCGCAGCAGGGCAGGCGGGCGCGGAGGAGGACTGCCAGGGCCCTCACTCCGTGCCCTTTTCATCTTGTAGCGGTGGTTTTGGAACCAGATTTTCACCTGCGTGGGGGTGAGGCTGAGCAGGCGGGCCAGCTGCTCCCGCTCCGGCGCCGAGAGGTACCGCTGCTGCCGGAACCGGCGCTCTAGCTCCAGCGTTTGAGCTTTGGAGAACAGCACTCGTCTCTTCTTCTTCTTCTCGGCCTCCGAGCCGCGGGCTGGGAGCGACCTCTGCGTGGAGTCGGGCAGGCTCAGCTCCGGGCCGCTCTCGTCGGAAGCTGGGGACAGCGAGGGGTTAGAGAGAGAGGCCGCCGGGCAGAATACGGGCCGCCGAGGCCGATCGCGTCACCTCCTGCGGGGAGAGCGCGGGGTTTACCGGAACTCAGAGGGTGTGCCGGGCCCAACCTGGGTAAGGGGAGTCGTAGCCACGGGACGGAAAGGGCCGGACCCACGGCACGTCCCCGCAGGCACCCCTTCCTCGCCTTGCGCGGGTGCCAGCAGCGGCACGGGGCTAGCACCGGGCTACCAAATTGTAGGAAAGTGCGCACTTTCCTCCAGCCACGACTACCTTAACGCGGAGCTTATCCCGATGGGGTTCCTGCTTCCGCCTGAAGCAGAGACTCGCCCCCTCGCCTCTGTTTAAAAGCATCTGTATCTGCCGCGCAGTTTGGGATAAGTGCCGCAGCGCTGGGCTGAGCGAAGGCTGCTCGCCGCGGTGGGAAGCGCGTGGGCATCCACGGCTGCGGCCGCAGCGCTGCATGGCAGCCTGCGTGCTGCCTTCCGCGCTGCGGGGGGATCCGAACCCCTCCAGTACAAACAGGCGGATGCCTGCAACACTGAAACGGGAGGAAGGAATCCGGGAGCGAGGCTAAATGGTAACTGCAAAGAGACGGGAGGATACAGCCCGAGGCTAAGCTTTCTGCCATAGCCCTGCTCACACCGAGGGGAAAAAAAAATAATCTTTTCTCTCACAAGCTCGTGGCTGGGATCCTCCTGCTGCTTGGTCCTTGTAGTTCAATAATATCCTATACAATTCCCAGCCTGGATCCCCCCGGCGCTGCAGGCTACACGCGCTGGCAGTTCGCTTCTTCGCATCTTCCCCAGAAGAACGGGGAACAAACACACGATAGCTGCAAGGAGATGGCGAGTTTCTGTCCGTAGTATACTCACAGGGATAGTGATTTCTGTCCGTCTCTATCCAGCCACGATATGGAGAGCCGCTGTATTTTTCCGCCGAATGCTGGTGGTGGTGGTGGTCAGAAGCTTGCTTCATGCTATGCGCATCCTGTTCTGGTAAATCCAAGATGCTCCTCACTGTAAAACTGATCCTGCCAGATGTGGCCATGGTAGGGTGTGCACACTCCCCAAAAATATCTTCCCGAAGTCCCAAACCCCCTCCCTTAAAGCCTCGAGGAAAGGACTGCGTAGTTACTGGGGAATCTCTAGGCTCGAGAGGAGCCCTTCCATCGCCACTCAACCCCAAATATTAGTGTCGTTTACAGAGGTGTCCTGTTTATATAAACAGTCCTCCCCACTGCAAACACTGCCCGCTTTCAAACCGTCCCTGTCTATAGGATGCTAAGTACCTGAATTAGTCAAGTGCTAAAGCCCTAATGGGAGTAGGTGTAACCCCCCTCCCGCCACCCCCATGGGAGAATAACCCGTTACCTCCCAAAGACAGCAGGAAACAGGCTTCATCATTACATATTCTGTCTGATTAGCCAAAAGTGGGGACAGATAATGGTAATTGTTAGCAGTGAATAACATCTTGGGTGGCATGCGGATGACCAACAACCACCCCCCTCCACCCGCCACCAAAGCCACCAGCGTCCCTTCTATCCCCAGACAAAGTGAATCCTCCCAGGACATCCGCAGAGCCTGCCGAGAGCCCCCTCCTAGCTTCTCCTTCTTTATTCTCCCCCCCGCTCCCCAACCCCCCTTCTTTTCCCTATCTTTAAACCTGGCAGGAATTTCACTCGCTATTTGTTTTATTTTCCCTGGCCGTTCATCGCTCTCTCTCTTCGCCAGTGGCAGCGTTCCTACCCTCAGGCCCTACCGGGGCTTTCACACCTCCGCGGAAAGGCTGCTGCGTGCGAACGTTCTGGGGACTGTTGTGCTACATCTCCTGTGCATGGTGTGGCTGTAAGGTTTTTTTTCTCGGGAACAGCGATGGGGTGACAGTGGCTGGGTACACAGGGGTAACTCGACACACTTGCTTCATGGGAAGGAGAAGTAGGGGAGATTTTATTAACATCATTTTGCTCTGTGATTAACCCAAAGGCGACGTGTGTAAGGTGTTGCAGTGACTCCAGATGGGAGAGAAGGAGAAAAGCTCAGACGCGGCAGCGCCTTTGTTTGTTTATCCACATCCCCTCTAGCTCTGCTTCACCTGCGGAGAGCCCCAGCACTTGTCCGGATCCGGGGCAGTGGCCGTCGGCTAGATGCAGCCCCAGCGGCACCTCCGTTTCCCCTCGCAGCCTCTCATTGCGGAGCTGCAGTCTGGCTTTGCCTGGCTTCCGTGAGACTCACAAACCGACACAAAGCCACCAAGCCTCGTCAGCCGCTCAAAGGCCGAGCACAGCGCAGGGCTCGCTTCCTAGGCGCATGGCAGGGACCGAGGGACCGACAGCCGCGACCTGTTTCGGCTTCGTCCGGGATGCGCAGCGAGGGAAGAAACATGGGAGGAGAGGGGACATATGAGCTCTGTCGCTCTTGAACGCCGCCCAACTGCACACAATGCGGCCCCGTCGGGTAAACTGCGTGAAATCCTGCGCCTCGAAAGAGCAATCTAGAGGCACATGCAGAAATGGCTCTAGCCGGCTGCTTTGTTGGTTCAGATCTCCCTGTCCAAACAGACACCTCTAACCCATTGTGCTCAGATTTTATTTATCCATCCCCAGCTTCGCCCCTCTGCCTCCTGCAGCCCCTCCCCGCCTGGCTCCGTGCAGCGCTTCGCGAAACAGCTCCACTCCACGGGAAATGGGAGCTGGGCGATAACGGTGGTGAGGGACAAGATTTATATCGTGGAGATCTGTGGCGGAGATGAAAACAGGCACCGGTCTCCGTTTGGCCATCTTCCCGCATATTTTCCCGGGACCGGCCACGCTCCATATAAACCATTCCCAGGCCGAGATTGCCGCAGCCACCTATCAAGCGTGCGGGTGACAGTAGTTATCTTCCTCGCTCCGAGCGCTGCCTCCCAGCCGTCCTGGGTGGTCGGAGCGAGGGGAGCACAAATACATGCCAACTGCTAGGCCGTGAACAAAGGGGAAATGTAGCCCTATGTCCCGGACCTGTTGGAAGCATTTGTTCCAGTCAAGATTTTGCATTTGTTCAGATCTGGAATAATAGGTGATTGACGCCTTCCCACAATGTGCTTTAACTCTCCGGGATAAATCGGAGCTTGTTCCTTGTTGTCATGGTTTTCAATAGGGTTCAATGGGATTGAACCACTATCGACTCTGCTTTACGTCTCCGGCAGCACCGTCCATACAAATTTATTAGTTATGTCTTTTTAAATAAGATTAAATAGAAGCGACGTGGCCGCGCTCCGCCGAGCTGCTCCTCCCGCACCGCTGTGGCCCCCGGGCGCGGCTCCCGGTGTGTGACTCCCCGTGTCGCACCCGCGTCGCCCCGGGGGGGCTCGGTCCTGTCGCCCCGCCTGGCAGAACCGCGCTTACCTGCGGGCAGCGCACTGCCGCCCGCTTCCGGCCGCCCCGAAAGTAAAGGAGTCCGCAACGTGCTTATTAATAACTTGACCCCGAGGGCAAACACTTGCTGAGTGCCTGTGCTTGGCGCTGGATGCCGGGGGGGGGGGGGGGGGGGGGGGCGGCGGGGGGGGGGCGGGCCGGGGGCTCGGAGCCGCAGAGCTGTACAGTACCGCGGTGGCTCTTACAAGGAGTTTGCTAAGGACTCTCCAAAGAAAGTGCAAAAACTCTGCAAGGAAAAAAAGTGGGGATGAGAGAGAGTCTACTTCAGTGACCTCTCTTAGCCTTTTAATCTATTTAACATCCTAAGCCCACACTGATGTGTAGAAATAAGTAAATGGTACTCTTCAAGCCTTAAGAGCTCTTCAGCATCAAATATTTGCACTTACTCTTAGAGTTTTTCTCAAATAGCACAAGACACATTCTCCCTGGACGAGCCGAGCTAACTAAATACACCTACGCATTGTTATCTGCGGGAAATAGTTCCCTTCAAAGGGAGAACGCAAGAACCTGAAATGTTTCATGTCTTGTTTTGCTTGGGACTGACTCCGTACTTGCCAGCCCCGGCTGCCCAACCCCATTTCGGGCTCTGCGGGTTCACGTTTCATCCCTTCGAGGGACGCTCTGACCGTGGGGACTCCCGGGGGCCACAGCTTTTGACAGACGGCGAGCACGAGGATGAAGCTGGGATGGGCAGCGCCGGCTGCGCACCCCACGCGTGGGCCCGCGGAGGAGCGCTGCGCGTGCCCGTCCTTGCTAATTTCCCAGCCGCACTGTGCGTCCCAGAGAATGTCCCCTCTTCGTAGAGGATAAAGGAAAGAAAAAAGATTCTAAATCAATAATATTTATTTGTTACCACGTTTTTCACAGCGCGCTTTTCATCCCTCCCTGCCGCCAAGCGTGTTCGTTTGAGGCTCAAGAGAAACACAGCAGGAACAGCAGCGTTCTCCAGTCCGAGACGTGGCCCGGCCAGGCCCTTTTAAGGATATCCCGGAGCTCGCTCTGACCTTCCCCATTCCCCTCGGGGCTCTGCCGGGCTATAAACATCTGAGAAAACAGGAGCTTCCCCCGGTTTTTTGTTTGTTTGTTTGTCTGTTTGTTTGTTTTATTTTTGTTTGCTTGTTTGTTTTGAATGGGTTCATCTGTTGTGCTCAGTGGAGGATTCCAAAGCAGATTGATTAAACCGATATATGCGGGATGCTCAAATGCGATCAGAGAGAAGAGGGAAAAAATAGATAAAAGTATTTACGCCAATGAAAGCAGCATTCTGTTGCTGGTGGATGCAGTCGTAGCTTTATGGAGGAGCCCTCCATAGCGCTTAGCAGACGGCTGCGGGGCAGCACCAGCGCCCAGGGGAGGAGGCTGGGAGCCGCCCAGGCTGTGCTGCGGATGCGTGCGTTTCAGCCGCGGAAGCTGCCGGGGCAGCGCACCTCGGCGGTCTCACAGCCACGGGCCGTTGACGTCTGGGAAATGAGGCATGGAAAGTGAGCGACTTGACAAATACCACAACAACACTTGGCAAATGAAACCTTGGCCTGGAGTTTTCTTTCTCTAGATACTGGATTTTAATATTTCAATCTGTATTTCAATCAACGTCCATATGAGAGGATTCAAAACTCACTACTTTGGTTTTACTGAAAGGAAAACCTGATCTCACAGAATTCAATGGAAACTGTAGAATTTAAAATTCGAAATTAGAACAGGGAAGATGCTGTCCTTCCATAAAATCCTTTACTTCATTTTCTAATAATGAAAATTTTCATAGCTCGGAAGTTTTCTTTTGTAAGTGCCTGGAAATAATGTCTTTCCCATCAGCTTTAACTTTGAATCTTACCATAAACTCTTGTATTTTAGCTTTGCAATTCTTTACAGTATATTTTATGATTAGGGCAATATTGTGGAAGGAGTATAATATTATCTACAGGAAGGATTGTTTTCTATTTATATATTGTATTTGTCCCTCTTCCCCAGAAGAATAATATCAGTTACTTTTGGCCATAGGTTTTTCTGCTTTCTAATACGTCCTAGAAATCCACTTTTTTTTTTCATTACTTTAAAAAAAATATATATTTTTTTTCCCCAGCTTCTTTATTTCTTCTTTTCATTACCATTCCCCAGCCTAAATACAATGAACTCAACCAAAAACCTCAAGATTTTTTTTCATTTAATGGTTACTCTGAAGCCTCTAATTCTCTGGTGCACCACCTTGTACTCCACCTAAATCATGTCTCTGCTATCACTTTCCATTTAGTTTTGCAGAGCTTATTAATCAAAAATAAATAATAATTATTACATCCAATACATTAAAAACATGTTATCCAAGGCTTACACTTTCTCTGAAGCCCTCAATTTTCTGTTCTGCATTTAAACAAGAGGCAATACTCCTCGGAAGAGGGATTATCCGCAGCAGTGGACAGAGCTTTTCATTTGCTCCATGTGATCATCCCGGAGGAATTATTTTGCAAATGGACCACAAGCAAAGCAGACAGGGACAAACTCTCCCTGCCCTCCCTTGGATTGGGATGAGCTTGTGCTGTGCCTAGGTGGTGTGTCCTCACAATACAAGGAAGTAGAGTGGGGCTGTCACTTGCCCTGGCTTCCCTCTCCTTGGGGTGCCTGGGCCTCAGATCTTGGGAGA